CCCCAAAACCCCAAAACCCCACATTTATTAATATATTGGTTAAATGATGAAATAGAAAGAGAGGGTGTTTATAAAATATATAAAGTCTGCGATTAGTAATTAATATTCAAAATTTAAAATGGTTGAATCAATCTCAGCTACTGAGACTTATCAAGAATTTGAAAAGAGAAATGCTAGATTCCTCAATATGATTCAAGATAATGTAAAGTCAACTTCATTCTTAAATTTGATTAGGATAGAAACATTCGAAGACAGGGTCTTGATGGAGTTAGACGTTCCTTAAATGACGAGAAAGATATTAAAATTGTGGAATTTTACTATAGAGAGAAATTAGTCAAAAGACTCGTCATTGTCTTAGAGGACTAGATTGAAAAGAACCGTGAAATCTCTATTGATATAATTCAAACGTAATATATCAGCACAATGTCATATTTCATATTAGAATGACTGAGAAGCTAGGACTAAGAGAGGAATCATAGATTCTACTGCCAGGCATTGCTGCTAGAATGAACAGTATACCCTACCCTGAGACATGTAAGAACAAACTTCATATTATATGATTATGTTTGTGTAGCTGAGGAAACTAGAGTCCTTTTAATTGATTTATTGACTGTGTGTTTGAAATCAGACAAGTATTAGTTCTTGCCCAAGCTAGGAGAGATTTGCAGTATGCTGTCAAAAGCTGCCTTAGACCCTAATCCTGATATGAAGGTTAAGGCCGCCTAATTCGCTGGCTTGCTCAGTAGATAACTCATAGAAAAGGTTGGGGGTTACATGAAAGCCAATATAATTAGTATGGTTAAGAACCTTTAGCATTAGCATTCTAAGGTTAGAAAAGCCACTTTATTGGGATTAAAGGATGTGATCGTTAGCAGAGGAGCTGAGCCATTCCTAGATGATGCCATTGTGCAGCTAAAGTTCTCAATGAATGACAGGTCTCAAGATGTGAGACTTACATTCTATAATGAAGTGCTGCAACACTGGCTAAACTCCATGGAAATAAACAGCTTGAAGTAATACGATGCTACATTCGTACTATTTTTACTTAATGGAATTACTGATGAATATGCTGAAATATAAAACAAGAGCATTCAACTATTAGAGGAGCATGGAAAGAATATGAGAGAGGCTTTGATACAATTAGGAGAGGAAGATTAGAAGATGAGTGATGTAGAGTAATCTTAATGAAATATAATACAAATTGTATGTTTGAGTGAGTGATTGGAGATTGTCAACAAAGTATAGAATGAGTTTATAGAAGATTTAAGAAATGATTAGTATGTGTGTGTAATTTTCAATACTTAACTCTAATGTTTAAATAAACACCTGCTTTTAAATTTCTTCAAAATAGAGTATATTAATATCAGTGACTCTCATATACATTGGTACTTTTATTATTCGATGCAATAGTCCATATAAAAAATCGATGCTTTGACCTCATCTAGGATCAGTTTAGTCTCTTTCCTCTTATTCCTATCTGTTTATAATTTGGCAAGAGCTATCTTGTAATTAGACACCTTGATAGATTTCAAGCCATGAAAGTCTTACTCTAATCTCTATGATATTTCACCATTCTCAAATTGATAAAGTCCTTATCTATTTAGATCACTATTGTTTTAGCTTCTCTCAATTTGAAGTATTGATGAGTTGAATTAACGTTCAAAATTTTGATTGACATCTTAATTATAGTCAACCTCTAACGTCTTAATGTAGAATTCATTGGTCTGGTTATTGAACTTTGCATAGATGATTTCTGTGTTATGATCTTAAATTTATCCAAAACTAATCTCGCGCTTCTCAAATTGATATACTTTATCCTGAGTTGTAACTATCATCATCTGTTATGCCTCTTCATGTAGCCTTTGCTTATATCCCTTCGTATTTATTTCATTAACATCATACAAGCCCATACTAAATTCAGAGAATATTGGATTGGTTTCAGTAACACCATCAGGCAAGCCTTTATCATCATCATAGTCATTCCTTCTGCCAACTCCCATTAATATCTCTCCTGCTTCAACAGACCCTATTCCTGAGGCTCTCTCACCTGTGAATAGACTTAAAATTTAATCATTTTGTTTCAGTATGGCTCCATAAACAGCGGGGTATATCTTAGAGCCTATATCTCTGGGTGATACATATCTGTTATTTGAATATGCTTGCTTGTAGTACAAAGAGTTATGAGTGTAAAGCTAGGATTAAGTTGTCAAATTCGTTCTAATTCTCATAAACACATCATCGTTACTAAGTGGGAATGATTTAAATTTGATATGAGCTACATCTTATTTATCACCCTTGCGATCTAGTGTCACTGTCTATACTGCAAAACACGTATCTCTATATGCTGTAGTATAAAAGGTAGCCAGAAAATCTTAAAATCTCCCCTTAACATAGAACCCATCTAGTAGGCTAAGCTTTAAAGGAATGTAGTTAGAATCAGGTGCCATAATATAAGCTCCAGATTCACTATTAACACCTGAGAATCTTACAATGTCAATCTTAGCTTCTATACTCTAATGCTTCAGTTTATGATCTATTCTTTAAGCCATGTAGTTTTGATTGTTAAACTCAAATTTGACCTGAGAATTTTCCATATAGAGGTCTTATCCTAACTTTATAGTTTATGGCTGAATAAATGAGGAGCACTTAGCTGAAACTTGTTGGCAGTCTTCTAAAGTCTGATATTCTACTACATCTATAACAGTGGCACTGAGAGGCAATAGCTAAACCTTAAAAATCAGATTGAACTGTTTATCTTGCTTGCCCATTCTATCAGTGCATATGAAAGTATTAGTAACATCAGATTCCAAGAATTCATCACCTTTCTTTACAACAACATATTTGGTCTCAGTTATGAATTTAAGAACCGTGTTTTAACTATAGCCTTCCTTGTTGAACACTATGTACTGCTTTACTCTACCCTCACCTTTGACCTTAATTTCTTCCTCATCCTCTTCAACCTCACTTGCTCCAAATAAATGTAGGTACTATCTTTAAACTAAAACACTGGAAGCTTCAATGGCTTAGTTGAACTTCAGTAATTCACTCATATGAACGTTATCCCTCGAAGTAGACGGTAGTGTGTCATGATGAGTCCCTATACTTACAATCTAGGCTAATTCTACTAAGTACTTCTAGAGCTAGTTCCCTTTGAAGGGCTTCTGCACTTTTTTACTTACCTAAGGATTATCATTGGGAACTGTGGTTTTATTTTAATACTTGCTTATAGCTAATTGCTCACTGGTAAGTTTATCAAATGGATTAATTCCTTGCTGGTTATCTATGAGCATTTGAGCTAGATTTAAGAAGGTCATGGAATTGAAGTAGAAGTTGAAGGCCTTAGAGATGGCGAACTTCAATGCAGGCCTGTTTGAATAATACCCTGACCAGTAATCTACTCTGTTTTTGCCTTAAAAATCTGGATGCAGTTTATGAAACTTTTCATCATAAAGTGAGAAATCAGTTTCTATTTCAGGTAGCTCTAAACTCCCATTCTTCATCTATGACTTCAGTAAGTCGAAGTATTCACTTGGAGTAGCATATCTAGCCTTTACCTTATAACCAAGATAATGTTAAGAATACTCATTAAGTATCGTTATCATATTATCAATCATTCTAAAGTTCTACACATCTTATTAATTTGGCTTTGATCCCTTGCTCATATAGGCGAAATCATTTCCAACCAGTAGCATTATGTTTTCATGACTTTGGTTTTCAAGATAGGGTACTATTACACTGTTGCCGTATCTTATAAGGAATGATTTCACATCTATCTGAGATGGTTGAGGGTTCAGTAAATGCGTCTTCATAAATTCATACTCCTTTGTCTCATAGTGATGATGCAATATATGAGTCAAAAGCTTATTAGTTTCTTAACTTTAGCTCAGACTGTGCTACCATAAGAAATCCATGGATTACTCTTGCTTAAAGCGATCCTTCACTTCATCACCCACTCTGTTCAATACTATGTTTTCAAATTGCACTCGAGTTGACTCTTATTCTTGGTTAAATAACAAAGGGGTTAACTCTGAGCTGCCAAATGAATCTATCTGCCACATCGTCTTGAGTTTAGATTCAATTCCTGGGAAGGTCTGTATCAACCAGTCAATGCCAGTCTCCATTTAAGCTATCTGCTATCGATAAGAGGTTAAGGTCTCATCATGCTAGACCCAACCTCCCCCAACTATCTCTAACTGGCCAGACATGATTAAGTTATACAGCTCTTTTCGCTGCTTTACAGTAATCTCATCATAGTACATCTTAAGGAAACATACTTCAGCCCAGGTAAATTTCTTCATTGCATCTGATTACAGTTCAACCACAATATTGTGTAGTATCTCCTTGACTTGATTTCTATAGTATATTTCCAGTGTTTCGAGCCAGCCTGGATCTGTGTGAGAATGTGGCACTATCAATAAATTTACTTCCATATCCTTAAATCTTTCATCATGGATGATAAATTTATCTTCTTGTAAATTTTATGTCTTTTGATATAAATGCTAATTAAGAAGGGCTTGTGTGTGATTGTGCACACTGAATAGCACGAACACAATCGTGATATATATAATTGACACCATTACGATATATTTGGCTTAAATATTTTGAGAATTTTAAATCATATATTAACATCATTTCTCCTCATTCAAAATTCTTTTATTGCTTCTCCTATGGGGTTTTGGGGTTTTGGGGTTTTGGGG